TCCAGATATCCTACTTTGCGATCATATTATTTCTCTGCGAAAAACACGTGAAATGCTTCACTTCCCATATAACATTCCTTTACTACTCTACGCAACAGATTTTCAAACTCGCGCTGGTAAAAGCTTTCACGAAACAAATGCCTCCTTTTTTTACCAGTTCTTACCCTTTTGAAGCTGTGAAAGATGACTTCCGTATTAGTCTGCTAGAAAGTCTGTGATAATTATGATGTTTACATCCGGAGCATATATGCAAAACTGGTCACCACGGACACAACCGTGCAAAAACGCTGCATGTGCAAGTCCGTTGATGCGCATCGCTGTCAATTTTCTGCTGACCTATTTGTGTACATCTCCTATTTGTGTACATCTACATAACTGCGTATTTTGCGTTCTCGTATGAGTGTATATCACGATATTGCTAAGATCAGCTGAGAAAGACTACAAGTCGCTTCACTGACGCCAATGCATATAACAATAAAACAGTGGTTAATTAGAATATCACAATGACCCTTTGGACTGTCACATTGGAAGCCGCGGTATTGTGTTGGGCTGCTTAAGGCGATTTATGTGACCCATTAGATTGCGTACAAACACAGGACCGGTACGAACTATACATTTTTTTTTTCTCAACGTTTTAACACTAGGTTTAAGCTTTTGAAGCCCTTCCTCTGTTGTTTACTGCACTCTAGCACACTTAACTTAAATTAGTGCTCCTTTGGCTACATTCCTCTCGCTGTAGCTATAGCCTTTGTCAAAATTTGCATTTTTTTTAAGTGACTGTCGCAGCTCTCTCTCTCTCTCTCTCTGTACTGTATGCCCGTATGAGCAAACAAATATGTCTTTTATTCAGTTTCACGTGTTTTCTCAGTCTGCACGGGCGAAGGGAGCAGCGTCTTCTCGACCTGAATACGCCGCCTCATGTGTTACTGTTTTCACTGGTTGATGGATTAAAATGGTAACGCATCCCTTGTAAATGACTGTGTCGAACAGAAAGCCTAAAGCGATAAATAGCTAAATAGCCAGTAATCCGTCTGAGTAGTCCTCTCCTACAGCGTATAAACGAGTGAAGTTGTGAGCGCATTATGAAAATTATAGTAGCAGTATTAATAGCAATTTTGTTTCCTTCATTATCTCAGTCATTGTGTGTGGTGGGTATGAAATGGTTTGAAATTGCGTGACTGCGAAGACACACGCTTGCTGAAGGAGAGGTCGGACTCTCCTATAATATAGCATGAGAAAGCTGTCAGAGGGATGTGTATCTCGTAGCAGTGTGAGTGCAAGAAGAAAATGGACAATGATCGAAGATAAGTAGGATTTACACTGTCACCTGCTTTCTCACAACCACAGGAAACCGCTTACATTTATCAGCTTGTTTTGGCTCTGGCATCAGACAGAACTGTAGGAAGTTC